GGTGTCCCATGTCTCTGTTGGAGATTCCCTTAACACTGGAAGTAGATGGTGGTGATGCCTGCACAATGTGAACACACTAACAATCATCAAGCCGTACACTTTGAACATGCACCTTGTGGTATGTGAATTCTATCGCAACCCCGTTTTTTAAGAGAGAGCAAGCAACTGCGTTCACTGTACCCCAGGGGCTCTAAATCCCTGCAATCACTAGGCAGTTGGCTATTTTAAAAACTTGGGGACAGGGTCTGGCTCTGTAGTCCAGGCTGGCCTGGGACTGAGGATCTTCCAAGTGTTGGGTTGCAGGTGTGGCCACCCAGTCCAAACCCCTGGTTATACCATGATGGTAACCGGGGAAAGGTCAGGCAGTGAACACACTAGGCTTTGCAGGCCACAGAGTCTCTTGTCACAGTTCTAGTATATTTTTACAACCCTGTAAAAACATAAAAACCAGGAGTTTCCAGGCTGGGGACCATGAAGAGGCGCTGGGGAGTGTCAAGCTCAGAGAGGAAGTGAGAGCTCCACACCCCAGGACCTCGCCCTGTGCATCTTAACCTTTGTAAAGACCTCTCCAACACACTGGTGCATGGGGAAAGGAAAAAGAAAAGCAACCACGCGGGGGCCATGGTGAGCCAGGCTGGCCTGGATCTGGCCATTGGCCACAGCTTTCGGACTGGTGCTGGAAGATGGTACGAGAGCTCGTTTAGGTGGAGGGACAAATTCCAAGACAGATATTCCAGATGGCAATGTCCACAAAGCTCCCAGGGAAGTCAAAAGAAAAGTGGTTGTGAAGTCTGAGACATGGGGAAAGAGTTAAGAGAGGACAGAGGAGAGGCCTTGGGGATGAGAGGGAGGAACTTCTGAGGGCAGCAAGGAAGAGTGGCCAGACCAGGCCTCAGGGACTTGAGAAGAAAACAGGAGACAGAAGAGCCTCTGCAGGCAAGAACAGCTTGAAGAGGGACCTCTGGTCAGGAGTGCAAGCCAGCTGAGACTTCAGAGCCCAAAACTTTAAAAGAAAGAAATCTGTGTTCTAAGGCATTAACTTGTGTCACTGTCACACAGGGCACAAGACACACCAAGGGCACAGGCTGGACAAGAATGGTGGGGAGATCCTGTCAGGCTCCGCCCACTCAGCCACTGTTCCATGTACACTACGTCCCACCTCCCATCTTTCCTAAGGCTGCTCCCGCTTGTGTATGCCTTCCTCCCTCCTGCCCACACCCTACCAGTGCCAATATCTCCTCTAACTCCCGTCACGACTTGCGTGGGGACAAGGCTGGCTGAGCGGAAGACTGAGCACTGAAGGAAAGCAGGAGGTGCCTGTGCATTCCATTCCTCCAGCTGTCCTCCAAGCGAACTAAAGGCAAAGAGTAGGACAGCGCTCACAGCAACAGGTAAGATGACGCTAGTATCTCAGCTGTGTTTCCTCAAATTTATATGTTGAAATCCTACCCCTAGAACCTGAGGGTAAGGTTTTGGGGATTTTTTTTTTTTCCTTAAGATGGGGTCTCACCTGTTGCCCTGGCTGGCCATGAACTCCTGGACTCAAGCAATCTTCCACCTCAGCCTCCCAAACAGCTGGGACCACAGGTGAGTGCCACAGTGTCCAACTACTGCCCAGGACCTTGGAATGTGACAATGTTTTGGAAATAAGGCTTTAAAGAGCAGATGGAGTTAAAATGACGCAGTTACAAGGGGCCCTCATCCACTCTTGACTGTCTGATGAGGCAATCGGGACATAGCTACCCATAGAAGGACAGCCAGGTAAAGCACAGGGAAATGAACACTTGTAAGCCAGGGAGTCAACCCTGCCTACACCTTGACCTTGGACTTCCAGCTTCTAGGTCTGCAAGAACACCAATTACTGCTGCCCAGTCTGTATGTCAGGGAAGCCTTGGTGACTGATAAAGACAGGCATGCCTGCTGCATGATGTGGAAGCAAAAGTGGAAATCTAGGATGTGAAGCCTCACAGACTAACTAACTTCCTTCCAAGACTATGGATGCAAATCCAAGCAAGCTGGAGGAAAAACCCATGTGTGCATGTGCACAAAGCAACTTGCTCCCACCATCACCTAGCCTCCCCAGCAAGTCAGATCCACAGCCAGGCATGACCCAGTCACCATGGTGACTCCTGGCAACTAATTCCCTAAAGCCAATCAGAATTAGGGCCAAGAGAGAAAACGCTGCCAGAGATGGGATCCCAGCTCCTTCTGCTGCTGAAGCCATGAGCTTGTCATGTTTAGCATCCTGAGGTCTGAATGAGGGTAGCACTGTGCCCATCTGTCTGAATGCCACCTGTAAGTTACTTCCACTTAACAACACAATATCCCTCCAAGGCAGGTGCCTCTATGATATCCACTGAGAGAGGAAAAGGAGGGCAGCCAGTCCAAGACTACCAGTAGCAAAGTGGGGTCTCACTCAGTGGAACCAGGTACCACTGGCACCCAAGCCAGGGGCTCTGACCAGAAGGCAGCACCTGCTTCCCCTGCTCAGCGCCTGGCTCACCACATCTCCTGCCCACAGATCCACCTGGTCTGGGGCGGCCTTCCCTCTTTCCTCGCAGCTCCTGATACCCCATGACCCAAGGCCAGCCCTGGCCCTGGAAAGGAGGTAAGAGAAGAGGTGACCAGGAAGGGCCTAGACTGATAGAAAACCAAACCTTCCAGTCCAAAGTGACCAACCTTTGAGGCTCTGGACTTGCTGGAAAGAGTGCCTGCCTCTCTGCTGGGCTTGGATTAAAGATGGTGGCTAGGGCGCCATGATATGCAAGGCCACCTGACACTAGCCAAAGCTTAAGCAGAGGAGCTAAGGGAGGCCAGGACAGGTACACTTGAGCTCTAAACCAGTCTCCCTGTCACCCATGGCATCCTCGGCTCCCAGCCCTCTTTACACTGCTGCTGTCTGGGCCCCAGAACGCAGGGTACCCACAGGCACTCAGCCATGGACTACATTTCCTAACCAATCCCATTCTTGCTTTGCTTACTGCCACTGGGATTCTGACTTCTGTCACCAAGTCCTAAACAAGTGCAATATTGAGCCACTTCAGCCACTTCCTGCACTAACTCCTGGCTTCCCACCAAGCCCAACGTCCCTGCCACCCTGGTTAACTTCACTTCTCTCTCATAGTCTGAAGGGTGCCTCACTTCCCCAGAGAGAATAGATCCTTCCTGATCCAGCCCTATCTTTCTACCTTCTCTTGGAAGGTAACTCCAAGACCCCGGCACAGTGGGTACCACACAAGGCCTTCAATCAGCACTAACCTAACGGACATTTAGCAAGGACTTGCTACAAACCAGACTGCAGACAGGTGACTTGTACCCTGGAATAACACACAGCCAATGGGGAAAAACAGAGTGTACTCCCCTGGGCCCTAGGACAGTATTATGGAAATTCAGAAAGAGGGAAACAAGCCCATTACATTTTCATCAAGGAAAGTGTGCAAAAGCACCAAAGTGACGGAAGGAAGGTCTTAACTGGAGAAAGTTCTGCCCCAGGGGCCACGGGGCCACACCTGGGGATGTGTGTGGTTGTCACACCTGGGGAGGTCCTGGCATGGAGTCGACAGAGATCAAGGACACTGCCCAGCACTCTGCAGGGCCCAGGACACCGTCCCCAGAGGATGACCAGCCCAGTCTTGAGGGCGGGCCCCTGACTTGGCATTGTATTTTTCCACAATTTTCAGTTTACCTGCAACACTGAGGCAGTGCAGAGGGAAAGGGAAGGAAATGGAGAGAGTCTGGGCTGCAAATGCTAGGATGAGTCAGAAATGAGGGGGCAGGACACACAAAGTAGAGCAAGCCACTGGCACAAAGGCAGGGAAGAACATCAGAACAAGGAGACTTCCAGAAAGCGAGGGGCTCAGCACTCTTTTTGCGTGGGGAGGGTCAGGGGGGCAGTACTGTGGCTGAACCCAGGGCCTTTCACATGTGCTCCACCACTTAGCTACAACTCCAACCCCTAACTCTTTAACTTGGCTTCACAAAAGCAGCCAGAGTATGTCAGGGAATGCACATGGCTACGTTCCAATGACCTTAATTATCAACTTTAACTATACATACTGAAAGAGAAATTTCCTATCATTGTTACATGTCACGAAATGGTACTTCCACACACCCCCTCCCCCCACCCCCACAGTCCCTTAAAAATACACAATCCAGGGCCGAGGGTGTAGCTCGGGGTGAGTGCTTGCCTAGCATGTGCAAAGCCTTGGGTTTCTTCCCCAGTACTGAAAAAAACTTTGCAGTTCTCAGGGGTTTGACACTGAAGAATGACTAATATGGGTTAAACTTTACTGACTTCTGCCAAAGCAGCTCCCAGCAGGAAGCCCTAATCCATTTCTAACAATAAAGCAGGAGACTTCTCAGGGGGCTGGAGTGCACTCCCACCACTCTGAGGAAATTCCTTCCTTCCAAAGGAAGCATTTCTGGATGTTCAATGAGCCCAGACAGCACTCTCCAGCCTGACACAGGGCTCAGTTATTTACATTCCCTCATGGTGACATCATGGGGCGGGCCAGGCTGCTCCAGTAAGGCTGGCCAGCAGCAAACTCACCAAATATGGTTCGAGGCTCCACCAAAAAAAAAAAAAAAAAAAAAAAAAAAGATGGGCCTAGTGAACACACCCAGTGAGGTCCCACAGGCAAGAAATCAGCTGCTCTCCGGAAGGGGTGCTAAGCAATTAGAAAGTGCAAAAGCTGGGGAAACTTAAGTGCCCCCCACAAAGGTGGATTCCAGAAAGAGAAAGACTCTAAGAACACAAACAGTGGAGTTTGCTGCTCTCACGATGTGTCAGCCTCCACATTAAGTGCTGTGTAGACTGACTCAATGACATTTCTCCCCACAGCAAATTCATAGGGGACGTAAGAGAAAAAAATTCAAGGCTATCTGGTTCCAAAGCCCAAACTTGTCCCCCCAGTACATGACAGAGATTCATTCCTTTATAGGGAAAAAAAGACAGGGAGGAAGTTACCATTCAGAAAGCCTTATCAAGACAGGCTGCTCACCTGCCCAGCTCCTCCCCCATTTCATAGTGATCCTCCACGTCTTCCTGCCTGAACGTGGACATGGTGGCTGGCCTGCCTTCCCAAGGCTTTGGCTCCAATGAAAGTTCAGTCGCTGCAGCTTGGGGACAGGGATCTTGGGGAGTCCCCTAACCACAACCCTGGAGGAGACAGGGAAAAAGGGAAAGCAGGATGTGAGACACCAGGCATCTCTCACAGGTACATGGAGAGAACTGCACCCCAAACAAGACCTATGAGGCTCAGCCCTGAAGTTCAAACTCCTCTAGGCTGGGTCTGTACCTTGAGGCCCCTTGCTCACACACTGTACAACTGCACAACGAGTGAGTATCAGCCCTGTTGGGCCACTTCCCCCAACACACACTCTTTGGGGAACAGGACTGGTGCGCCACAGGTACCCTAGTCTTTCTTTGCTAGTTCAACGCCCCTTCCCCACACCTCAAGCACTAGGGATCTTTCCTCCTGGCCAACTTCCTAACCTAGTCCCGACCCTCACTTAGTTACTGCCGTATAACCCTTGTCCTTACTCGTCCTTACCCACGCCCTCCCTGCCCCCCGATCATGAACAAACCCAGCGCTGGACAATAGCTTCCGAGTTTCTGTAAGTTCATTTTTGCCTGACGCTGACCCCCACCATCCTAGCAAGATATCTTCCTCTACGTATCAAAACCCCCCTCAACCCACCAGCACAAGGGTCCCGCAAAGTGTCCTCCACTGTCCTTTACCGCCACACAGGCTCCAACACGGACTCCCTTTGTAGCACCCCTCCCCCATCCCCCGCCGAGAACTGCCCATAGCCCTCACATTCCGGCTCAAGCATTCCCAAGGGCGCCACGCCCCTCGCAGGCCGGGTCACGGGGGAATGGGGTGCGCTCAAACGCCCCCCAACCAGTTTCTCTCCCTCCCGCCCTCCTCAAAGGTCCCTCTCCCCAAGAGCGCCACCCCAGCCCCACCCAACCCGCCGGCCTCGGCCCGAGACAGTCCGCACCCTCCGTGATCCCGAAAAGCAGGCCGGCCCTGCTGCCTCGCTGGCCTCAGCCACCTCCTCCTCCTGCCCCTCCGCTTCGGTCGTGCCTTTGCGCCTGCGCCAACGTCATCACGTCAGACAGTACCCGCCCCCGGCAGGCGGGCCCCATCACCTATTGGTCAGCGCCCACGCCGCTTGTGCAGCACCTCGACATCCCGCCCTTCTCCTTTCCGGGCGCTCCGCCCGGATAAAGCTTCGCCATTGGCTGACTCATTGTCTAATTCGACTGGCTGCCCGAACGCTGACCAAGCCAACCTGAGAAGGCCGACTTCCGGCACTAGTCCTCTCTGCAGTTATCCTCTGACCCGGGTGCTGAAGTCGTGAGCCGTGGTGGAAGTCCTGCATCCTGAGCACAGGGTGCGCCGATCAAAGGCTCAGCTCAGGCTGGACGCGTGCAGCAGCAATAGGGAGGCCCTCTGGGCTGCTTTGTTTCCTACTGTAAAGTAACTACCCACTTCTCTGCGGTTGGTGATTTGAGACAGTCTCGGTATGTAGCCCGGATTGGCCTTAACTCTTGCCATTAACCGTGTTTTCTTGTCATCTCCAACCTCGCTTGCCACCCTCACGTCACTGCCCAAGTTGTTCTTGCGCCTAGACATCGTGTATACTGCTAACCGCACCTGCCAGCAACCAGGGCTTCGAATTCCAGGTGGCCTTTTGGCCACATTGGTGCTGATAAAAAGGCAGGGATCTTTTTTTTTTCTTCCCCACAGCTACAGGATTAGGCATGTTAAGAGTGGAAAATGCAACTACACATTTACTTCTCAAATTGCTCCATTTTTTTTTTTTTGACAGCACTGGGGCTTGAACTCAGGGCCTCATGCTTGCCAGACAGCCACTCCACTGAATCACTCCACCAGCATATTGTTCAAGTTTACCTGGAAATGGTGAAAATGTTCACTGAAAATTGGGTATGAAATTGTTCCTTAGGAACAATTATGGCTGAATGCTTGAGAGGAAATGTGCGATTAGAAAGTAAGCCAACTATTTGAGTGAAGTCCCACAGAGCACGCAATTTTCAAATGCCTCCAGAACAATACACACATCTCCATAGAGATATATGTGATGTTTGGGGTGGGGGGGCAGATGGCTCAGTGGTACTCTGGACCTAGCGTGCTCACAGCCCTGGGTTTGGGGGCGATGACATACACAGGATTACTAGCCTGAAGATTAGATGGAGCCGCCTACCATACCAAGACGCCCTCTCCTGACTATCTTGCTAGTCAGGACTGAGGGAACTACAGGAAATGGTTGAGATGAGACAACCTGAGCTGAGCTATCAAATTTGCAGTGAGAAATCCCCTCGCTCCTCTGGACTATCAATGTCCAAAGAAGTATTCATAAATAAATTCAGTCCCTTGAGTGGGCAGTCACAAGGAACCACTACGGATGGCAGGACTTCTCTTTGAAGCAGCTCTGCAAGCCCAGACTGGCACCTCAGCTCTACCTCAAGGTTTCACTGAGTTGCCCTGGATGGGACCATTGGCCACAGTGCAGCTTCACCTGCACAGACGGGAAGGATGCAGAACCGAGTCACGCTTCATGCCCATGGGTCACCACCATCACATTTATTATTCCAATGGCACTAGTACAGGTGGAAGTGCCCATAGTGACAAACACATAGGAACTCCCCTGCTTTCTAGGGACTACCTACCCACCTGTTTGTTCCCCCTTCCAGGGAAAAGCCACTTTGGGTCACATACCCACATAAACTTCTTAATGCATTTATTTTAAATTTTTGGACATCTGAATTTAGTTTCCCTCTGAAGAAATGATAAAGCACTGGGTGTCCCACCCGCCTCCCCACCCCACTGGTCACAAATGTCCCTGTGGAAAGGGTTTTTCTGCTGCCTCTGGAACCCCAAAATAAATAGAGGGAAACGGCATCAAGTGTTAACGCTGAGTGATGGCACAGAGTGGGCCCCAGAAACCTCTTGGGTGGAGCATCACTGTGGGGACAGTCTCGAGATGTCTTCTGAGAATGCGTACATGGTGCAGTGGTCAAACCAGGAGTGGGTGCTGTGCCATCCCACCAGGGAAGTGGGCACTGCCAGCCGGAGCCGCCTACAACTTGTCCAAGAAGTTGTCCAGGGCTGGGATGCCCTCCTTCAGGCCTTTGCGCTTGCGGGTCTCTGCCACCACCTGGCTGGGGCGGCTGCTGTTGTCAAAAGGGTCTCCGGGAAGGATCTGCCAGTGGTCGAACACGCACTGTGGGAAGGCCTGGCCTCCAGTGTTGGACCTCAGGTCAGCGGTGAAGCCTGCAATGACAGGTGGTCACCAGGCAACCCAGGGATTACGCAGGTCCTGCTGGGAACCTGAGCTAGCCTGTTGACCTGAGTCACCCTGTAGTGTATGCAGACTACCTGCTAACCCAGTCAAGTCGAATGCTGAGCCTGGTGCCTCTCACAGCCCTGAAGGATTGTTCAGTGCTGGCTAACCTAACTTAACAAGACATGGTGGCTCTAGCCTCTTACCCCAACACTCGAGAAGCTGAGACATGAAGCATTCCAGGCCAGCCTGTGACATTAGCTGTCTCAATAAACCAATGGCTGGGGTGCTGCTCAGTAGCTCTGTTCTTCACACCACATAGAGAAAATAATGGCCACAAGGTGCCAAACAAACAGCCCTTCCTAGAACAGAGTTCAGCCTGAGGCCCAACACCACTGCCTTTGACCTCACTCCCTACACCTCCAAGTTACACACCAGAAGGCTTCTTGAAAAACTATCCACACAAAATCAGCATCCCGCAACACCGCCCTCCCCCCACCCCAAGTTGAGAGGAGAGATCACTGACAGCTCTCCTTAAATCTTCCTCCCAGGTACTATGAGACAGCCCCCACTCCAGGCGCTTACCGAAGGACTCATTGACAGGCAGGTAGGCCTTGACCACAAACATGGGGGTGCCAGCCACCTGAGACTCCTCAAACACATGGCCCCGCTTCCTGTTCAGAACCCCGTAGATGCCGCCAACCACTTGCTCTGGACACTGGCGAATAGAAAGAGAGACCATCAGCGGCTGTGGACAGGCAAGCTGGGGGCTGGGGAAGGGGCACCTGGCTCACCTGTATCTCCACAAGGTAGATGGGCTCCATGAGGCGAGGCTGCGCAGTCAGCACACTGGCATAGAGGCAGCGCCGGGCCGTGGGGATTATCTGGCCGCCCCCGCGGTGGATGGCGTCAGCATGCAGTGTCACATCGTGGACATCGAAGCGGACCCCCCGCATGTTCTCCTCACACAGAGCACCCTGCGTGGGACACAGACCACCTTAAGAGACCAAAAACCTCCCAGCTCCAACCAGGCAGTCCCATGTCTTCCTCTCAGACATGCTGCTGCTGGTCCTGCATGACAGGCCCCCAGCTCTCCAAGGGAACATGGTATACCCACAGCACCCACCCCCAGGACACTGGTCCCCAGAGCCCCTCCACGCCCACCTCACCTCCTTGGTGGCCCACTGGAAGCCAGCCACCACACTGTCCTTGATCTCATTGAGGTACTGCACACCCTTGGTGATGTCGGTGAGGATGTTGGGGCCAGTGCCGTCGGGCCCGAAGCACCAGATCTTGCGGGCCTCAGCCACATCCCACTCATACTTCTCGGCCAGGTAGCGGGCCCGCTGCTTGAGCTCCTGGCGGGCGGACACCTCACCCTTGTCAATATCCTCAGCGAGGCCATCGGGGAAGGGGCGTGCCTTCATGTACAGCCGGTTGTGCTTGTTGGGAGACTTGGACAAGCAGAGCACATTGGACTCCTCGCTGACTGTCTCCCGGTATGAGACCACCGGGTCAGATTTCTGCAGAAGCAAGTTCTCAGGGTCACAGACCTGCCTGGAAGGAGGCTGAGGAGAGCCCAGGGGAGTGTGGGCTCACGGGTGAGAACAATGCTGGGTCAGCAGAGCAGAGGGCAGGCACCATCAGTGCCACTTGACTGGAAACCTGAGAGGAGACAGCCATCAGACAGCTGTGGTTGCGAGCTAGGGAACTGGTATTTCTAAGTTCACAAGGCTGGGGCAGGGGCAGAGCAGCACAACCTGCATGTGGCCCACCTTGATGGGGATGCAGGCATGGTCCTCCTCTAGGTCCTTGAGGCAGATCTCCAGGTGCAGCTCACCAGCACCAGCAATGATGTGCTCTCCTGACTCCTCAATGATGCACTGGTGGGCAAAAGAACATTAGCCTGGACCCAGGAACACCAGGCCTCTTGCAGTATAGGGAAGGTGCCAGGGCCCATAGGCTTCCTGGTGGCACATGGCCACAGTGGTCCAGAAAGTTATGAACCACCATCCCCAGTCTCCATGAACTTCATGGTCACCTAGCAAAAAGTGGTAGTCACCCACAAGACAGCAGCATTCAGAGTACAAGAACTCCACCTTGGCAGTGTGGGTCTCGCATGGGGACTCTCTGCTCTCAGAAATCCCCTCTTAACTAAACTGCAGCGTGTCATTCTGCCACCCTGGTGCTCACCTGCACCATGGGGTCTGACTTGGCCAGCCGCTTCAGGCCCTCCACCAGCTTAGGCAGGTCTGCTGGGTTCTTGGCCTCTACGGCCACCCTGACAACAGGGCTGACGCTGAACTTCATCACACGCATGTTGTGAGCATGCTCAAATGTGGTGATGGTGCCAGTCTTCACCAGAAACTGGTCCACGCCCACCAGGCCCACGATGTTCCCACATGGCACATCCTCAATGGGCTCCACATAGCGACCCATCATCAGAATAGTCCTGCAAGGAAGCAGGCAGCGGTGTCAAGGACCAGAAGCACTGCCTATACCAGCACCCATGTCCCTGGCCCAACCTCAATTCTGTACATGACTCAGAACAGCAAAGGTCCTGAAAACAGGAATCACCTGTCACCCATG